TCAATTTTTCTCTAATATGTGTTCTCATTTCCAATTTTTTTCTTAGCCTAGATTATGCAAAGCAGAAATATGGGGCACAGAAAAAGGCCACTTTTATAATTCTTTACACCTATTGCTAAATTACATTGTAGAACCAGAGCAGTGTGTCACCCACAAGGAATATATGAGTTCCTATAGCACCACACCGTTGTCTGCCTTTACTACTACCTTAAAAACATCTTGACTAACGGGTCCCTGGGTGGCTCAGGCAGGTAAGCATTTGACTCTTGATTTTGGCTCAGGTCATGATCTCACAGTTTGTGGGATCAAGCCCCAAGTTGGGCTCTGCACTGACAGTGCAGAGCATGCTTGGGAATTCTCTCTCTCCTTCCCTTTCTCTCTGCCGCTTCTGTGCATGTGCTCGCTCCCTCTCACAAAAATAAATAAATAAACATGAAAAAAAGCCATCTTGACTAATTTGGGAAAATTTATAATTTAGTTGTTTTCATATATCCATGAATTTGCTTGCCAGTGAGGATAAACACTTATTTTTTCTGAATATTAGTCCTTTGCCTTTCTTTCTTCTTTTGAGACTTGCGGGTCCATGGTCTTTGCCAATTTTTCTTTTAAGGCTTTAGTATTTCTCATTTTGATTTGTACAAGCTCTTAATGTTTTTGGCATTTTCCCCCTATTTTATTATTTGCCTTTTTTTTTTTTAACCACAGAAATGATTTAAATTTTATGTAATTAAATCTAGCTTTGTGCTTGTATTTCAAGTTCTGTGAGCAGCATGATGACACCCTGGAGACTGCCTATCACAGGACATGACCTTGCAGTCTGCCCGTTCACACTCCTGGACGCCACACTGGCCAGCTCCTCCCCTTTGCTCCTAGCCCTTTCCAGCCACTGCCTCTTTTCTCTCTGCTTTTCTTCCCAGAGCTTCTTGTGAAACACTGTCTACACTGGCTGGCTCCGTTTCCTCTTCCCTCCCTTTCCCCCCAGTCTCTCCCAATCTGTCTTGACAAGGACCACATCCCTCCTTCTAATCCTGTCCAGAAGCATCTTGTCTTTCTGCATCTTACTTTACTTCTCTGTAGTGTTTGGTTCAGCCAATGGCTCTTCCTTCTGGAAATGTGTTCCTTTCCCTGCTTTCAGACTCTCCTGGTTTTCCTCTTGCTTCACTTTCCTCCTCCTTACTTTTTTTGCCACCTTTCTTCCTCAGTCCACACATGTTGCTGAACTTGGGAACCTGGGTCCTGGTGCTCTCAGGTAGCCCTGTGAACTTCTAAATGTGTGTCTCTCACCTGGACCACAGGTTGTACACTCAGCTCCTCACTAAGCATCTCCACTTGGACATCTAACAGGCATTGAGAAACCCTTAGTGAAAGGAAAAGCATTTCAGGTAGAGGGAACAGCACATGCAAAGGCCCTGAAATGAGAAAGCATTTGATGTATTCAAAGAAAAGGAAGGGAACCAGTGAGTCTGTAGGCTGATAGGTGGGTGGGAGGGGATTGTATAAAGTAGTGGTGGGATAGAGGACCAGCGAGAGAGTAGACTTTGGTCATGTGAGGTGCCAGAGCAGCCAGTCCCAAGGGCACAGCAGGGCCATGGGGAATTGGGGCTGGAGACACTGGGCAAGGAATCTGAGGTGCTGGTGGAGGAGCAAGTGGGAACTGCTGCTTCCCCTTGAGGTGACATGGGGCTGTACCAAGCGGAGAGGCAGGGAGGGCCTAGAAGAGAGAGCCAGCTTCTCAGGCCACACCAAATGAGGCTGATGAGGACCAAGCAGAAGCATCCGGGTCTCTAACTGGGCCAGGTTGGACTCAGCCTGAACCAAGACTGGCCTAAAGTCACTCTGTAGGTTGTTTGGACCCTGAAAAAATGATCATACATCTAAAGTAGCTGCCATTGCCTCAGGATTCTGCTTCCAATTACTAGCAGGAATGATCTCTGGTGAGGGGCCTGTCCTCCAGACAAGAGGGTGGCAAACTCTTCTCATCAGGGCCAGATAGGGGACATCATGGGTTTTGTGGGCCAGCTACTCAGTTCTGCCCTTGTAACAGAAAAGCTGCCTCAGACAATATAGGAAGGAGCAAGTGTGGTTGTGTTCCCGTAAGACTTGCTTATACACTCTGAAATGGTAGTGTTGTGCAATTTTCATGTGTCATGAAATATTTTTCTTCTGATTTTTTCAACTGTTTAAAAATGTAAAAGCGTTTGAGGAGTGCCTGGGTGGCTCAGTTGGTGAAGCATCTGACTTCTGCTCAGGTCATGATCAGCGGTTCGTGGGTTCAAGCCCCGGGTCAGGCTCTGTGCTGCCAGCTCGGAGCCTGGAACCTGCTTCAGATTCTGTGTCTTCCCCTCTCTCTGCTCCTCCCATGCTCATGCTCTCTCTCTCTCTCTCCCAATAATAAACACTAAAAAAAATTTTTTTTATATGTAAAAGTGTCCTTAGCTCATGGACTATAGAAAACCAGAGGGTGGCCAGGAGGCATGGTTGTGGTTTTGCACCCATGTCTCCCAAAGCCCTGCAAGCCTCGTCATTTGTCAACCTGGTTTTATATTAATTACTTTACCCAAGCCTCCCATGCTATGGGAAACAGTGACTTTGGCTGTCACACCTCAGTGTAGTACTGTTTGGGTGCCAATTCTTATGGAAGACTCTGTAACTCCTGTGGCTCCAGGGGGCCAAGATACGTTGGTGCTCCCCTGAGGCTATCAGTGAAGTATGTCCTCGCTCCATTCTGGGGCTGTGGTGACCCTTCATGGATCCCAGTTTTGGGCAGGGAGCTCTGCTCCAGTTACCCATCTGGTATGGACCTAAAGCATAAGCTCCTGTCCCCTTGTGGTTGTTGAAATGCCAGCCCTTTCCTCCTAAAGCCCGTATCCATTCTGATAGTTCCCATCAGCCATCTGGTATCAGATCCTGTTCATGGTCTTGGCTTTGAGTTCCCTTTACATTTCTGGCACTTTGGGATTTCCTTTGCTTTGCTTTGGTTTATTTGTTTATTTATTTATTTGAGAGAGAGAGAGAGAGAGCGCGCGCGCGCGCGCGCGCGCGCGCGCGCGCATGAGTGGGGGAGGGGCAGAGGGAGAGGGAGACACAGAATCCCAAGCAGGCCCCGGGCTCCGAGCTGTCAGCACAGAGCCTGATGCGGGGTTTGAACTCACGAACCATGAGATCATGACCTAAGCTGAAGTTTGACGCTTAACTGACTGAGCCACCCAGGATCTCCTCCTTTGCTTGATTTTGAATTCACTTAAGTATCAGAACCTTTGGAGTTGCATTTTATTTATTTTACTTATATTAGTTTTTCTTTTTAAAAAATTTTAGAGAGGGGAGACAGAGGGAGGGAAAGAGAAAGAGAGGGAGAGAGAGAAGAAAATCTAAAGTAGGCTCCATGCCTAGCACAAAGCCTGATGTAGAGCTCCATCCTACTACCCTGGGATCATGACCTGAGCCAAAATGAAGAGTTGGATGCTCAACTGACTGAGCTATCCAGATGCCCCTTGGGTTGCGTTTTAGATAGGGTTTCCATGTTTGGAGCTAGAAGACAGTCTGTGTATTGGCTCAGTCTACCATATTGCATGGAATTTGTCCTTTCTTATTGGATAATGAAATGTGACCACATTAGACATATTTTATAAATTTTAAACCATTATTGCTTGCCTTTGCTCATTCCAATTTCCTTTATTTTATAAAAAAAAAAAAATTTCAAGGATCAGATTGGGGGGAAAAAAGAAAGCAGAAGAAAACAATGTAAAAGCAGGACCTAGGTGACTGAAGATCTGTTTGATGCTCTTGATGGGAGAATGGAAACCTCCAACTGTTGTCTGTGCTGAAGAACAGGGTACACAGAGTTGTGCCTACCATCAGTTCCACTCATTCTGGGTCCCCCAGTTGAGTGACTAGTCACATACATGCAAGCAGGAGCCATGTGGCTTTTTCCCTCTGGAGCTCAACATGTATACCATATTTCATTAGATATGGTGAAAGAAGGAAAATAAGAAATTGTGCCCTTACAGCAAGTTTGAAGTGACAGATAATCTGGTAGAGAGTTTCAAAAGATAGTGAAGGTTATAGGCTATGGGTATCAACCACTGGGAAAGAGAAGAAAATGATGGGGGTTATTTATCACTGGAATTACATGTTTAGATACCTGTGTCTTAGAGAAGAATATGCCTCTGGCGTGTAAGTTGAATTGGAGGGAATGTACAGCTGGTTGATAGACCAGATGAGAAGCTAGTCCTGTTCCAGGACTATTCTAAAGATATTTAACATTTTTACTGAGTGGTTACTACTATGTTCCAGGCACTGTGCCAAATGCTTTATGTTTGTTCACTCATTTATTTCCTATGATGCAAGAATGGTTACCAACTACTCTACCTTATACATGAAGAAACTAGGGAAGAGAGTGATTTAGCAACATGCCCAAGGGCACATGGGTAGTACACAATGGAGGTGGGATTTGAATCTGCATAACTCCAGAATCTAGACCCTTAACCAAAACCCTTATACTAAATTAGGTTGATAATGTACAAGCAGGTTGAGCATCCCCACAGGAAATCAGAAAGTTGGGTCTGGAGCCAAGAGAGAGACTAGGTTAGAAGAAAGGGTATGAGGTCAACTGCCTGGAGGTTATGGTTGAGAGAGTTATGGGGAGTCCTCACCCCTGATCTTTAAGTGGGCATGTTCTATGACCCCAAAGTAGGCAGCCAGAGAGCAGGAGCAGCTGGTTATGTCAAGCAAGCAAACCCAGATGGGAAGAAGAATGGGAGGCAGGTTCAAAGGCTCACCTCTGTTGGAGGTTTCATATGTTGGGATTGGCTTTCATGGAGGCTTGGGGTATGATCCAAACATTGTATTGCCATTAGATGAAGTACAAATCAGCAGATTTCCCATGTTGTTCTTAGTCCATTCTCTGAAGTATCTCTTGTCATTCTTCTCCTGTTTCTAAGTAGGGCTTCAAATTAGGAAGTGTCTAGGAGAAGAAAAAGGAAGTAAATGAGAGAGAAACACAAAGGAAACTTGAACAAGTAGAAGGTGGATGCCCTAGGCTCTGTCATAAACACCTGGATTCCAGCTGGGACTTGGATTTGCTGGGGACACTAGCCAGAGAGACGGGACCATGTGGCTGTCCCCAGCTCTGCTCCTTCTCTGCCTCTCAGGTGAGTGAGGCTGGGGCTTTGGGTACCTGGCATTTCAGGGGGTGGAACAGTGGGCAGAAGGTCTATCCTGGGTTCAAGCCAGAGGTGAAGTCTCAGCAGACACAAGAAGGACACATCCATTCATCCATCTGTGTATCCTTCTATCTACTCAGACATTCACCTACAGATCCTACATACACTTATTGAGCACCAGATGTGTGCCAGGAGCATTCTGGGTGCTGTGTTTAAGAGCAACTTCTGCAGTCAGAAACTCATAGTTGAATGAGGGAGTCAAGCCAGTATGATACAGTGTTGAACTTGTTGTAGAAAGAGATTTATTTATATGGTGTGGGGGTGCACAACAAGGGCCCCAAACACTGCTCTTGACCAGGTGCAATTCTTCACCGATGCTCCACTGGACATTGGTCTTGAAAGATGAATAAATTGGCTCAGTGGAAAGTGGGAATAGCTTATGAAAAAGTGTAGAGATATTAAAGATCATGGAGATTTCAAAAATTAGCAATAGTTCTATTTTGTCAGAGCTTAGTTTAAAGGGGTTGGAAAGGTTTGTTAGTAGGAATTAATGAAGGATCTAAAATGGCATCCTCCGCACCCACCTCAGACCCTTTCTGGAACAAGATGTAGTTCAGGCAAGTAAATAAAATTGTCCATTGAAGGTTGGAGTTTCAGAATAGAAACTGTTAAAAATAGGCATTCAACATGGACGAGAGCGCATTCTCTACAGGAAGTAAGTTTAGGGTAAAAATCAGACGGTATTCTTCATGTTTGTAGAATAATTTTTACGACATGGAACCTGCCCAACATAATCATGGACTGTTCCAGAATAGTGAGTGGAAAAGGCAAAGGTTTAAAGGAAGAATACCAGCTGGGTGCAACTGGCCAAAACATAATTTTCTTTTCAGTAACACGGTAGAGTAGACAGGATGATCTTCAAGGCCCCCCAGAGCCCTCATAGCCCCGAGATCTTAGACTCAGAAAGACGTTTAAAAGAGATGCATCTCGTTACACGTGGGAGGTGCTCAAAATGTCTTGAATGAGGGTGACGATGATAATAGATGTTTTCTGAGTTACCGTAATTAATGAAATGGGCATCCAAAGCAGTAGTGGCTGAAGCCAGCTTGCATCGGCTCATAAGAACTGATTATGGGCTTAACTTCCCAACCCCGTGTCCAGTGACAGCATGTTGTTGGCCTGAAATCAGTCGTGGTGAGAGCATTTACACCACAGAAATTGGCAAACGGTATAAACAATGGCTACTCCTCGACTCCCCTCACCCCGCCTTGTTCCTTACCCAGAGTCAGTTTACCGGCCTATCACAGCTTGCTCACATCTGCTTGCTTAAATCTGATATAATTGTTTAAGTGCCCTAGCCTGGGTGCAATTAAACTGGACTGGAAACCTCTTCCCACTCCTTCATGTGGACTGGCTGACCTCTCCAGACGCACGTGGGCTGACCTTAGGATTCCTCCTGGGTCCAGGTTGAAACTTTGGAGTCACTTATGAATTTTGGTTCTTTTTTTTTCCATCCCAGCTCCTGGCTCAGCTCCTTCCTGCTTGTCCCTACTTTCTCCCACCCACCACACACTGGGGTTATAAACACCATTTGGAAATGTGTGACCACTTTACATTTTTATAGAGGGCACCCCAAAGAGTTGTATGGCTAGCCTGAGAGAGGAAGGGGAGAAAGTTGTAAAGAAAGATGGTGAGGCTCCGGGTACTGTGATGGGGGGTCAATGGGAGGGAGTCAGCTCATGCCCCAAACCTCTGTCAAGAAGCCTAATAGGGTCTCCTTGGGACTGAGCCCTTCTCAGCAATGCGTCACTCCTCCCTCAAGTGTAGTCTGGATGAGAGCCAGGGGTTTACTTTTCCTCTCTTGAGAACATGTGGAGAGCAGAGTAAACAAGAAGTTGTACTCTTGCAGAACAAGTTTGAATTGCAGAAAACCTAGAATGCAGAGCCTCTCTCCAAAGGGAAACATTTTTGTGTGTGACTGAATTTCACGTCTGGCAAAGGCTGCCAGTCTAAGGACAGGGCAAGACAGTCAGCTCACTCTGCTGAGAACTAGCTTTGTTCCAATTCTCCCTGTCCCCAAGGGCTGGCATCCCTATGTGGTTACTCAGTGTTTCTGGGCTTAGAGAGCACAGGTCTCTACTCATCTTTCTGGCTGTAGTCTCCAAACCCTCTGGCTTAGGTCCTAAGTTCAGATGTCCCTCCAGGTCCCCATACCTGAGCCTGGAACCACCTATACTTCCTTGGCAAGTTTCCCCTTGGGCTTCAGGCATACAGCTACTGAGGGGACCCATTGAGATAGAGTCCTGGGACATGGCTTGTGTTTTCCAGGCTCTTTGTCCCTGACGGGCCCCAGCTCTGTGACAGGCACCTTGGGTGGCTCTCTGAGTGTGCAGTGTCAGTATGAGGAAGAGTACCAGAGTTATAAAAAATACTGGTGCCGAGGGCAGAATGAGGGCACATGTGACAATATTGTGGAGACCCAGGGAGAAGCGAAAGAAAAGAATGGTCGCGTGTCTATCAGAGACCATGCTGATCGCCTCACCTTCATCGTGACCATGGAGAACCTCACTGCAGACGATGCTGGATCCTACTGGTGTAGAGTTCGGAAAACATGGTACCTGGGCTTCTGGTCATCTGGCACTTCAGTCCAGGTTAAGGTGTCTGTTTCCCCAGGTAAGAGATCTTCTCACTCCATCAGCGGAGCTTATGGGACATGACTGAACATGGGGATGAGGATGGGTGCCATACTGAAGAATGTCTTTAGGCCTTGTCTAGTCCTTAGTCCCAGTGGTGTTGGGAAGAGCCTATGATGAGGGCAGAGAGAGAGGTGACTGACCCTTTAGCCTTGGCATGGGTGGGGGTGCATAGCCCAAGGTGCCCTTACTCTCTCACTCCATTGCCTGGGAGGCCCCTCCCTGCTGGACGAAGGCTATTTCCACCATGCCCTTTGGAAACCTGCACTAAAGGAAATAAACTCTTTGTATATACATCTTCAGCTTGCTCACAGAACATTCCCTCTACTCTACTGTCCTGAAATTAACCTCACTCCTCTCATTTCAAAAAATAAGCTTCTTGAGTGGAAGCTGCTCCTTCTCTTACCTCGATGTGCTATAGGGCTGTGAAGCTGTGTCCAAATTCTCCCACCCCTTCATTACAGCTTCCAACCTATTACTGTCCTATCTGCCTCCTTTAACACTTTTGTCACATGGCCACACCCCTCTACCTCTCCTTTGCTATGGCCTTCCATTAGTTTCTAGTTTACTCCCTAATCCCTGCCATTGTCTTGGGAGTTTTTAATGAATAACTAGTCCAACATCCTTTTCTTGGGTTCCATGGCCTTCTTGACTGCAGTGGCCCACATTTCCACTTTCCAGAATTCCACTCCATGGCAACGTTGCACAGCTTGCTGTCACCCTAAACTGGTCCATGTTCAGAACCCTACACTCAGACATTGTACTTTTGGACAGCTTTCTGTGCATCAGCTTTCCCACACCCTCACCCCCACTGGCCCTTCTACTCTCAACCTCACATATGCCTCCAATCCTTTGATGCCTCTCTCCATTCTCTCCCCATTTATTACCCATCCTGCTCCTGCCCTGATCTCACTTCCTTCCTCAACCCTCATGGAAGACTACATTTTCTTCTCTCACCAGTACCCTCCACTCTTGTGCACCATTTCCCTACCTACTTCTCGAAAACTTCATCCCTGGATCCATCTTAAAATTAGGGTGAGCAACCATTGGGGGTTGCCCAGGACTGGCAAGTTCCTTGGGATGCAGGACTTTCAGTGCTACAACTGGAAAAGTCCCAGGCAAGCTAGGGCAAATTGATCCCCTACCTAAAATCTATTTGCTCCAGTACTGCTGAAGAATAGTCACAGAAGGCACCTATGGGTGTCAATACAAATTCATGGTTTCTAATATGACCCTCCTGTTCTTCTACCTTACTAAGGGAGTACGGGATACCAGACGTGAACTCTCTCAATTTCTTTTCTTCTGCGCTTACACACTTCTGTGCTGCTTAACTCATTCTTCCGTCTTTCCCTTCTAGGTGGAAGGAAGTTTCCTTCTGTTCAATAACAGTCATCCTGAAGCTGGCTTCTCACCTTGTAGCTCCTTGCCTCTCCATTCCCTTGAGCCAAATTCTCTCTTTGCGCATCTGTATCCTTCTTCCATCGATTATCCACACTCTTTACCTCAACCTGGAAACAGGCTGGAGTCCTAAAACTATCTTGTAATCCCTGCGGCCTCCGCTAGGCGTCACCATCCCTCATGTCTTTCCTTTGCCTGGAAAGTAGCTGA